TATTTTGATTCTGTTTCTTAAAAGAAAAACATAAACCAGGGTATAATCCAGCTAATCATTACTTAGAACCAGTGGCAGTGCTAGCCCAGCCAACAGATCTCACAGAGTGAGTACCATCTTACTCCTCCTGAGGACTAGCCTCAGCCTGGGCAGGGCACTTGGCCATTCTCAGTAGTGACTCTGTAGGCTGGGTGGAACCAGCTCTGGCTGAACTACATTTCAGTTATCTCACGCTCATTTTGTGCATGTCTGTTGTCATGTCTGACCTAGAAATGCAAGTAGTTTTGAAATAAAAAAGAAATGCTGAAACAAGCATTTTGTTAACCTCTGCTAAACCCTACTCAAGTTATTCTCTAGTTTTGGATACTTAGTTGGAAAGAATGTATACAGAGGAGCCAAGAAGTATGCACCACACACAACCAAATCCCACTACAGGCAGCCAAAACAGTATTCTGATTTTATATGTCTTATTCCAGCTTCATACACACAGATGAGTTATACCACCTTCAGTCTTGATCTTTGAAAACTTAAGCGCTTATCTTATATCTCAATCTATACATAAAATCAGAATAATATTAGTATTTTGACACTTTTTAAATGACATGGAGGTACATGAAATGGTGAAAAACAGAGATAAATACAATGATGGAGATTTTGCAGATTTCTCAGAAGAAAACAACTGCAATAATGATTTTTTTCTCAAGCTTTAAGACACACCTTATTCAGATAAAATGCAATGGCCTTCAGTCCCTGTTGTTGGTGGTCATGAACTCCACAGTGTAAAGATTTCAGTAACTAACACTGCATCTTAAATCAAACAGCTTGTCTCATTGCTGGTTGGTGATTGTGGTCACTATGTGCCACTGCCTTTTCTTTATAACAAGATTAGTGTTTTACAGCACTGGCAAGTTCTGCAGTTCAGAGCTGACATATAGGCAGAGGCATCTGAGCCGTCACTGGCATTTGGCATTCCTCGCCTCATTTCTGGCAGAGCTCTGTCTCTCTGGCAGTGATGTTCCTGGCCCAAATGTCTCTCAATGAAATCACTGGCAAATTTCCCAACACCTTGAGTAAGAACAGAACTGAGTCCCGTGAACAGAAGATGCATGTGCATCTCTCATCACACTGTAAGCAGCAAATGTTCATGATTGCTACCTAGCAATCCAAACTGAGGGGCTGGTGACATCTGAGAGTGAGTTGATTATATTAACTCCAAAGGCATAGACAGAACTTATTTACAACACCAGAAAAGAAAACGCCTTGCCTAAGGGAAATCATACAAGGCAAAATCTATTCCAACTACCTTAAAATACTCCTTCTCCGCTTCAAGTCATCTACTTAACAAGGAAAAAAAAAAAAACACAAAAAAAAAACCAACCTCAAAACATCCCTCCTTGCTGATCAAAAGACAAAACCATGACATCAGCTATTGCTACAAATATAAAAAAAATATTTTGTTTAGACAATTTTTCATTAAAATTCACCTGTGTAATTGATTTCCCTGAACATTCTTTGGAAAGAAAACAGCCCGAAAAGAAAGTTCGTAAAATATATTTTCTACTTTTTGCACATTTTTTAGAAAGTTTTTTCTTTATTTCATTCTGGATGGGTCAATGTAATCCAGCATTTCTAAAACTGCAGTGCAGGAAACTTTTCACAGATTCTTAGAGTGGTAAAAGGCAAAACAGAAACACTGTTTTAGAAGCAGTAGATACCTAGTCTGAGACCTGTACTGAAGGTAGCTGCTTTTCAAGCTTAGCAATGGAACAATTAATAAAGGAACCCATTAAGGTCTGATTGTTGCTGCTAAAAAGCAAGGTTGAATTTCAGTCCTTTGAAGTAACTGAGAATGATTCAGACCTCATTACAGAGATATAATCTACATTCATACATTTATGTTAGTGATTCAAATCTATTGGGACAGATTGAATTCCGTTAAATAGTGCATCTTTCCTGTGGAACTTTTCTCAGGCTTTCTCAGGCTAACCTAAGAGGTGACCTGACAATACAAAGTACTGGGGTATTTAGGGATTCAACTGTGCTATAAAAGAAAGGCTATACAGAAAGTAGAAAAAAGAATGAGATATAATCTAAAAAGCTATGTCAGCTTTTCATTTGGACTGTTTTGTAAATGCCCTCCCTGTCATCACATGGGATAGAAAAGGATTCTATGCGTTGTAGTAGTTTTAAGTACTGCACTGAATATTGCACCTGCCAGAAGCAGATTTAATATGAAATTCCGGATATGTGGCTTTTGTTCTTAACCACAAGATCTTACAAACAACATACAGCCAATCACAAGCTAGAAACAGGTCTAAGCAGAACTATTCTTGAGTAAATTCAAGACAGTACCTATTTTTTTAATGAGTAGGGGTTAAATATATCTGTTTGACCCTCAAACTACTATTTTCTCCTGCTACCAGAGATCCTAAAAGGCCAATTCATTGTATTTTCCAGCATTTGACAGGAAAAGGAGAAAAAATGAAAGGTTTCTTCAAATGTATAATTTTAAGACATTATAGTAGTTATTTATTATTTAAGCTGCTGGAATCAAAAGAACTTCAATCTTAGAAATAACCTGTTGTACACTTCATGACCTAGACAACAAGCAAACATTGACATCAGCTTTGTAGACACACATGTAAGTTGTCAGGCATTCATCGAAACGTAGGCTTTTGCTTTTCATTTTGGTTTTATTTCTTTTTTTTTATTAGTTGCCACAAAAGGAAAGCCTAAATCAGATTCACAAAAAAAAATCTGAAATGCTTTGCACTCAGTGCAAATATAAGCAGAATAAATACTCTGAAGTACCATAAACAACATCATAAAACATATTGATTCTAACATTAAATGGTTTCATTTTTAAGGCTGTTTAAATGTCACCCCCAGAAGCTGAACACATAAATCTAGGAGCCAACTCTCTCCAGAATAAACACCATAATTGGAGAAAATAATTTCTAATTTCTGTTGTGAAGTTAACAATATATTTAACATCCTAATCTAATGAATCAGCCTAATTTTAGAACTATTTGTTCTTTTCTGCATTTTCTGTTTTTTAAATTAAGATCTACTCCAAGTGCCAAATGTAGCTGCATAGGCAGTTTTCCATTGCATTTCACTGATCTGCGTTATTAAACTGCCTCTCTTTCAAAAAAGTTCTGGGTTTAAATGTTGAGCTACTCACTGTGTTTCTGTACCGCTTCACTTCTCTGCTACTCCATTCACTTAGCAAATGTTCCACCTACTTGCATTCCAAAACAGTTATTTTACAATACTAAATATTGAACCAAAATTTAATGTCTTGCATGCTGCCCATATCCTGTCAGTCCTTGACCCCTTACCCTGGTGTTAAAAGATAGTACATCATATGGAAGATACCTGTTAATTACTGGGAAAGTTGACAGTTCAGTGACGGACTAGAAATATGAGTCTGTCATAATATTCAGTATGTGAAATGACAAATCCAATAGCGGAGATGGGATCAAAGGAAAAACCAACAACATATGCCCCTCTAGGAAAATAATAACTTGAAAAATCGCTTTTAAATAGTCTTGAAAATGGAAAATTTGTTTCTTTCTGGCAAAGGAAACTGCATTAGTTAAAAAAAAAGGCAAAATATTCAGACAGATTTTATGAGGAAGCCTTTGCAATCCCAATAAAGCCCCTTTTACTTTGAAGTCAGATGCGTGATTCAGTAAATGAGTCATGTTAGCAATTAGAAAATGGTCATTTAGGGCCCTGATTTCTTGTGAGACAAGGAGGGTGAGGGTGGGGAAAGAGACACAATAAATCTTGAGAGGCTTAAAAGGAAGAGCAGGCTAAAGTGTGAACTTTTTATTTCAGCAACGGAAGCGAGAAATCAGTGATTCATTAAAGGAGGGAGAAAGACCTCCGTGAAGCTGGCAAAGAAGAAGGAAAAGGAGCTAATTATGTCTCTTCCCTTTTTACTCTCTCTGACCAGCATATAATCTGCTTTTCCAGGGTCTGCCTGTAGTATATACTTCTTTCCAACCTCTCCACCCAACCCCTCCTCCAGCGGGGGGAGGGGGAGATCTAGCAGGCAACAAGGTCCAGGTGGCTTTCTCAGCACTTCACTGCCAAAAAAATAAAATAAAATCCTCTACTAGAAAACAAGTTTCTTTTTTTTTTCTTGGGGGGCGGGGGGGGGGGGGGGGGGGGGAGGGGGCAGCCT